TTGCACAGTGCTACTGTCACCACCATACGCAGCTGGGCCCCAGCTTACGACGGACCCATCACCAAGAATGGCAGCAAAAGCGCCCACAGTGGCCTGGATCTGCTGCACACCCTTGAGCTGATGCTGCACAGCGCTACTGTCACCATCGTGAAAACGATCACCCCAGGTCACAACGGATCCGTCGCCAAGAATGGCTGCAAAAGCAGAAGAGCCTCTCTTCTTCAAAAAGCAATTTAGGGTTTAGGGTTTAGGGCTCCAAAACAATTCAAACTTTTGAAGATAGACCAAGCATATAGGGTTTAGGGTTTAGGGTTTGAAGATAAAATAAATGTATAAGGCCAAAAAGTTACAAGTTCTCCCATTGGCTATCTAAGAAGCTGGATTGAATCTGAAGTCTCATCGAATGCCAGGTCAGGGTAGCTCCATCCTGTAGCTTGGCAGCCTCGACTGTCGAGCATGCATTACAATACTACTATATAACGATAATGCTACGACACCAATTCCTACAAAACCAAAACCATAGTATTATAACTCTAGCACTATAGTCTGTAGTGCTATACACCTACAAGTTATAGTGCTCTTATGTCAATACTAACATATCCGTGAAATGGTACGATAAGCATTTTGGAGGCCTGGCCTCAACGGTTGAGGAGACGTTCAAGATGCTCCCGCAGGAGTCCACCAGCCGCCCGGGCCCCGCGACGGCAAGTTCGGCCTGAGCCCGACGTGCCAGTGTTCCCACCTCCAGGGGTTTGAAGTTTGGGGGTGAAGGGTTTGTTGGCTTGGGGTTTAAGGTTTGGTGCTTAAAGTTTGGGGTTTAGTGTTTAGGGTTTGGGGGTGAAGGAGTTTGTTGGCTTGGTTTAGGTTTAAAGTTTGGGGTTTAGTGTTTAGGGTTTGGGGGTGAAGGGGGTTTGGGCTTGGGGTTTAAGGTTTAGTGTTTACAGTTTGGGGTTTGGTGCTTAGGGTTTGGGGGTGAAGGGGTTTTTGGCTTGGGGTTTAAGGTTTAGTGTTTAAAGTTTGGGGTTTAGTGTTTAGGGTTTGGGGGTGAAGGGGTTTTTGGCTTGGGGTTTAAGGTTTAGTGTTTAGAGTTTGGGGTTTAGTGCTTGGGGTTTGGGGGTGAAGAGGTTTCTGGATTGGGGTTTAAAGGTTTAGTGTTTCAAGTTTGGGGTTTAGTGCTTAGGGTTTGGGGGTGAAGGGGGTTTTGGCTTGGGTTTTATGTTTAGTGTTTAAAGTTTGGGATTTAGTGGTTAGGGTTTGGGGGTGAAGGGGTTTTTGGCTTGGGGTTTAAGGTTTGGTGTTTAAAGCTTGCTGTTCAGTGTTTAGGGTTTGGGGGCTTGGGCTTTAGGTTACATGCGCTGCAAGCTTCTAGGTTTCCCCACCTCTTCATCCAAGTCGACCTTCACGACAGCTGTCTTGCCGCTGAGCAGCCCAATTTCCACAGCTATCGCCATGTCGAAAACCCGAACTGGCAATATTTGTTGAGGCCGCAGTATAGATCCCGGAATACCAGGATCGGTAGTGTAAGGAACACCTAAGAAGGTAGTGAAAAGAGCATAGGACCTAGTATATAAGTGGGGTCATGAATGAGGTAACTCAAGTTGTAGGAGCTGCCTCCAATTAGCATTCGGGATGTTGAAGGAGTAATATAGGGGCCTTAGTTAGAATAGGGTTTGGGGGGATATTCGCCTCGGCCCCGGCCGAAGCGGTCAGAGGTTCCTATTCGGATTCTCCTATTCCCCACCTCTTAATCCCCTCCCCAGAATCCTGGCCACCGCCTCCCCCCCCCCCTAAAAAATGGAAACGTGTCGATGAGCCCCAAGGTCCGGCGGTGAATTTTCGCCTTCTCCAGTGTATTTTGGCTTTCTGTAGGCAGTCCCACCCAATTTTCCTCGCTTCTCCCTCCGCCTCACCCCTCCCGCCCCCCCCTGCCCCCCTCCCCTCCCCCCCCCTCCCCTCCCCCTCGCTGACAGGCGCGAGCTTTCTGGAGTTTTCGACGACACGGGACTGCAATGTAGCATCTTTATGTGCGTCTCAGGCTTGTTTTAGACGCCCTTTCGTTGGGATAGGCGGAGTAACGTGGTTGAAAAGGCTGTGATGCTTCCCTAATCCAAGACGCCCACGAAATCCACAGCCTCAACGGCCCATACTTAAGGAATCCCGCCGCTTGCGAGAGTCTTGGTATCCAGTGTTTCGGAATGACGACACCAAAATTCGTACTGATACTACCACTACTAATACTACTCACAATCATCCTGCTTCGTGTTGCTATGAACATTACTTTTACTATAAGTGCGATTCCAACTGTTACTTTTTTCCTACAAGAGCTTGCTGCAGATAGTAGCCACTCGCCGCATGCGCGTACAGCCGGGCCGAGGCGGACGACGCGCAGCGTTTCAAATTATTCTATACTTATAATAAGGAAGCCTCAACATAGTATAGGTACTTATTAAGGCCCCTATACTACTGCTTATGAGGTTATAGCTGTAACTCTCAAGTCTACACCGGAAGACTAGGACTGTTGGGACGAGATGGTACGGTTGATGATATGGGAGTTTCCCAAAATTAGGGGTACTTTTTCGGAGTCCTCATAGTAAGGATCCTACTTTTTAGGGTACTAGATGATCGTCCCCTATTTTCGGAAACTCCCATATAAATCCTGCAGTACCTTAAGGACGCTAAGCTGCGGGGAACTATGGTATACCGTATTCCTTATTATGGGTCATGCAGGGTTTGTATCATCAACGGTAGGACCCGGATTTAAACCACACAACTTGAGATAACGATATTCAATGACCCTAAACCCTTGACCAACAAGACAACCGACGGAGCCAGATCAAACACCATAAAGACGCCCCTAAAGGAATCCCAATGCCCCGAATATAGAAGCCGAAATACTCACCGATACTATTCCCTAACCTTCCTCATTATCATCATACTACAAAGCCCGTAAAACCCTCTTTTTATTTACAACTGCGGCCCCTATACTCAAACCTCCTAAATCCTAAACCATATACTCTCAAGAACCGGAGAGCTCAAGCAGCTGCAGCACATCGAAACTCGTTCTCTGGGGTCTTCTGCGGCCTTACTTTACAGCTTGAACAGGATTTATCCAAGGGTAAAAGGAGGGACCCTTGATAAGGACCCCTAGGTATATACCCTTAATATAGCTATTATATACCCATTATATAGCCCCATTATAGGCTAGGGGTCCCCATTAAGGGTCCCTCCTTTTCCCCTTGGAATTTAGGGTTTAGTTTAGGAGATGCCTTACACCCTTGTCCTTTTAGAAATAAAATACAAAGCCCTATATCTATATCCCTTCGTAAGAATTATTTAAGAAGGTCTACTAGCCGGTCTGTTTCTTCTTTTGGGGGAACCATGAAAAAGGACAAGGCTGACAGCCTTAAATGTTGAAATAGGGTTCCTTTGCAGGGTTCCACATAAGTTACGTGAGAGTGTCTACTAGCATTAGGTGGTATAAGCGGGATTACGTGTAGGGACCTGAATAAAAGCATAGGGGTTTTCGGTACATTATAAAATTATATGTTGTTTATGGACTCTGAGGGATAGTATTGCCAATTATTCGGAACCCTGTGTTACGGGCCCACCGGTTCCGTTAAGGCCGTTAATGATTTCTATACGGGTTCCCACAGGGGTTCTATAGGGGCTTGGATTTAGTGCTTGGTGTTTTAGGCTTACCCTAAACCCTAAACCCTGAACCCTAAACCCTAAACCCTAAACCCTGAGGGCTTCAAAGTTTAAGATTGCCTCGCCTGCACTCAAGGTTTGCGTGTCTCAGCTTCGACCGGAATTTGGGCTTTCAGGCGCCGACTATAGGGACCTTCATACTCAGAAGAGAGGTTGTTACGGAGTTTATGGGTGTTGAAGATTTGGCGTTCAATATACAATATGTTCATATAAAGACTTTTAGGTACTGCTATGACCGATAGTTCAAACCTCTGTACTATAGCACTGCCCATCCAAGAAGGTGGAGGGGATACGGAGAAGATTCGTGCACGAGCGTCATGCTACAAGGGGTTCAGGCGTGGAAGTGTTGGCACCGGAGCCGAAACCCTAAACCCTAAAACCTTAAACCTATAACCTTAAACCTACCTGGGAGTTTCTGAAAATATATAGCACCCTAAATAGTAGCATGATGAACCCCTACATAAACTTGAAAAAACAAACTTTATCGAATCCCAAACTCTGAACCCTAAGCCGACCCCTTGGACTGACCCTTTGGGCGATAGATACGTACACAAATGCGTACATACATACATGCATACATAGATACATACATACATACATACATACATACACATGTACACATATACACATATATATACATGTACACATGTACACTACAGATAGACAGATACACATCTAAGCATATACACATGTACACATATACATACATACGTACATACAGACGTACATACATCCATGCATGCATGCATACATACATCCATACATTCATACATCCAAACATTCAGACTTCGATACTTACACACATGCACACAGACACATAGATATACATCCATCCATCCATGTGGCTGTATATATGTATGTCGACATATTTTCGTATGCATATACATATATATAGATATACAGATGTTTAATTTGCGTTGTCACTCTTCCCGTCTTCTTTATTCTTCGTCCTAGCTCCGGAACCCGGAGCCTTGAACTTAGCCCTGTATAGTTTAGGGTGCTTTACCGTAGCAGGGAACAGACCATCGAAGCCAAATATCCTAAACTCGACAGCCATACTGGGGACCTGCCCCTAGACACCTCATGTCATGCTGAACCGGACGAAGACCACACCATCAACCTCGCGGATCGTTTAGGGTTCATAAAACCTAAACCCTAGGAGGTTCGACTGCAGAGAAGAAGAACCCTAAACCCCAAAACCCTAAACCCAAAAACCCTCAACCCAAAAACCCTACACCCCTAAAACCCTACACCCTAAGCTCTTTTCCTTGTGAACCCCTGATCTGGGTTGTAGTTTTGGGGCTCTGAAAAGTATTTCTGAATAGGTACCTCTGTAGGAACCATAAGGGAGCGTAAAAAGTTTCCCAAATTGCCACCTAGTGGTAGAACCCAAGACAGGCCCGGTGCGCAGGAACTCGGAAGTCCGTAGGAAGGGGCGGGTCCTGGCACAGATCGGGGATGTCTCGGGGTCTGGGGTTTAGGGTTTAGGGTTTAGGGCTTTAGGGTTTAGGTTTAGGTTTTGGCTTTAGCTGCAAGGAGTTTGGGATTTGGGTTTTGGAATCTAGGCTTTACGTTCTTGGTTTTAGGATTTATTAAGATTTACTGTGAGCTTGTCGTGGTGTACGGGTTTTGGAAGGGTTTCATAGGGTTTCAAAGGATTCTGCAAAGATCTTAAGGGCCTTGGTATTATGAGCACTTTAGGCCATTTTATGTAGAATTCATCCGATTCCAGAATTGTTTTGCCGGCTTTAGGAGTGGGTTTTGCTTTGGTGGTTTTGGACATGTTGACTTTGCCCCTATAGAGTTTTTGGATTAGGGTTTAGGCTTGAGATTTTGAACTGAATCTTGCGCTTGAGTGAAACTTTGGTGTTTAGGAAGAAATGAAAGATGGATAAACCCTAAGCCCTAACACCCCAAGATGTGAACCGCATGGGAAGCGTAAACCAAAAAGCGAATTGCCCCGCACAGCCTAGAAGACATTATCACAGGGTTTCAAGACCCTTCGTAAAAGCACGAAACCCCTGCCATTTAAAACTGCGAACATGCCACAAGCACTCTGTAGAGCCAGCCCGACATATCGCTTTACAAAGCTGGTACTGCCAAAAACAGGATACACATAAAACACGATCATGTTTTTTGTATTCACGCTTGCCATGTCAGCAGTGATAATCAACCACAGCAGCAACAGGTGAACCGACGCCCCCACGACCCCACCTCCTCCCTTCCAAAGCACCCTTACAGGAATCCCTTCAGGAAACCCTTGAAGAAAGCCTTCACCCAAAACCCCAAAACCCCAAAACCCCAAAACCCCAAAACACCAAAGCCCCTAAACTCCTAAAACCCCAAAACCCCTAAAAACCCCCCAAACCCTAGAAAACCCTCAAAACCCCAACACCCCAAAAAAAAAATCCTAAAACCCCGAAACCCCGAAACCCCCAACCCCTCCCCCCCCCCCCCCCCGGGCTTCATCTCCCAGCGCATCACATTGGCCCACTGGTTCAACTTCAGGGGCCTCAGGGCGCTTTAGGTTCAGGGTTTAGGGTTTAGGGTTTAGGGTTTAGGGTTTAGGGTTTAGGGTTTAGGGTTTAGAGTTTAGGGTTTAGGGTTTAGGGTTTAGGGTTCAGGGTTTAGAGTTTAGGGTTTAGGGTTTAGGGTTTAGGGTTTAGGGTTTAGGGTTTAGGGTTTAGGGTTTAGGGTTTAGGGTTTAGGGTTTAGGGTTCAGGGTTTAGGGTAAAGGGATCTATACGGGTATACGAGTTCCTTGAAAGGGATCCATAGCGTTTAGGTTAAAGGGATCTATAGGGTTCAGGGTTTAGGGCTTAGGGTAAGTTTGCGATTTGAGGTTTAGGGTTTTAGGGTGTGGAGCTTTAGGGCTTTAGGGCTTTACTTCTTTGGGGCTTTAGGGCTTCAGGGCTTAAATGTTTAGGGTTTAGCTGCGGCTCTGGGTTTTAGGGCTTTACGGTTTTAGGATTTAGGGTTTTGGAGCTGTGGGCTGTTTTAGGGTTAAGGGCTTTGAGTTCAGGTGAGACTTTGGGTTTTAGGGTTTAGGGCTTAGGTGCGGATCTGGGCTTTAGAACTTTAGGGTTTGGGGTTTGAAGGGGGTATCTGGGTTTTAGGGCTTAGGGTTTGGAGTTGAGGGTCTGGCGCTGAGGGCTTAGGGCTCAGGCCGTAGGGCCCATGGCTTTGGGTTTATGGCTTTGGGTTTGGGGCTTCGGGCTTAGGGTTTAGGCCTCAAGGTTTACTGCTAAGGGCTTAAGGCATTGAGTTTACGACGTCAGGCTCAGGTCTTAGGGTTTTGGGCTTAGGGCTTAGGGTTTAGGCTTCAGGGTTTAGGGTTGAGGGCTTAAGGTTTCGTTGGTCTGGGCTGGACTCAAGGTCTAAGGCTTAGGTTCTAGGGCTTCGGGTGTGGCGCTTAGATGGTTTAGGGGTTATAAGGCCGTGCTTCATTAAGGCATCAAGGAAGCGGTTGGGGTTGCAGCGTGATTTTCGAAGTTCGGGGTGGGGGATTTCCGGCTTGAATGGTCTTGACACCCTACAAGGTTTGTTTAGGCTGCGACAGGACACCTACTTTCATGAAGAAGAACCTGCTACATTCACGACCTGCCATAGAACAAGGCCCCATGGAAGCCCTTCAAGGGATATCCCAACATGGAAACGAAATCGAACATCGGCTGGAGGAACGTTTAGACATGTGTTCCTTTAAGGGTTCCTTTTGAACCCAGAGCTCCTAATGTCCTAACAACCCTTGCATGAAACTGTGTTCGTAATAAGTAGCCCCAGAATAATAGCTCTACACTAAACCCTAAACCCTATACTCCTTCTAACGGATCTCTACATTACATTATCTTCTTTTAAAGGATCTCGACATTCCATGATTCCTTTTAAAGGATCTCTATCTACATCAGGAAGCCGAGGTTCAGCTTTGAGAAGTTACCCTACCCTAAGGCTACTGGACCCCGTGGTGAGATCCCAAACCTTAGCCTCCAAACGCCCGCACCCGGCTGTGGTGAAATGCAAGTTTCCGCGCAGTGAGCTTCGCGGTGGGTGTAGTAGTCCTATACTATCTCTGCGCTGTGGAAATTCGCAGAGTTTGCGATTTCCTAAACCCACTACACGCACCACGCTGTGGCGGGAAGCAGATTTAGAATTTAGAAGCACGGGTGCTCCCATCACCGCTTTGCAAAGCGCATGTTCATGCAGCAGATGGCTCCGGACATCTTTGTTAGGATTCTACGGGGGATGGAGGCTTGCAGAAAAAAAACCGTACAGCCTGCTTAGGAAGTCTTAGGGTAGTGTGTCGAATGGGTCAGCCTTGGAGGGGGGTTTACTGGGTTGCTGCCTTAATTAAGGAATGCCTAGGGTTCCTTTTAGGGTTCCTCTAAGGCATCTACAAGGCTAAGAGTTTAAGGGATTCTAATGTTCTTTAATTAAGGAATATACCTTGATTCATATCAGGGATCCTACTATAATGCAGGGTATCCCGCAATTAACGGATATCGGAGTCTCTGGGTGTCAAGGAAGTTAGATTAAGCTACTACAAAAAAGGGAAACCCCGGTATCCACCATATATTCCCATTGTGGTAACTGAAATTAAGTTCCTTTATACCAGCCCAGTTTAGGGCATGCTAAGTGGAGGCTTTAGGGTTTAGGAAGTGGTGTTCAAGCTTTAGGGCTTAGGGCTTAGGGTTTAGGGCTTAGGGGTTCGGATTTGAGGCTTTTAGGGTTTGTAGAGTTTAGGGTTTGGGGTTGAGGGCCAAGGCTTTGGGGTTCAGGGTTCAGTGAGCCTCGCAAGCTGGGAGGCCGACAGATCCCGGTAGGAGCTGATCCACTTGCTGTACATGTGCCAGACCTCGTGTAGCAGTCGACGGCTCTAGGGCTCCAGGGTTTAAGGTTTAGGGCTCTCGGGCTTAGGGTTTAGAGTTTAGAGCTCAGGATTAGGGTTTGGGGCTTCAGGGTTTAGGGTTTAGAGCTCGGGGTTTAGGCTTCAAGGCTTGGAGAAGTCGAGGGCACAAGTGTCTCATGTTTAGGGCTTAGCGGCTTAGCGGTTCGGCCTGTGTGGCAGAGGGGCCTTCTTCGTAACCCTACGGTTGATGATATAAATCCTGCATTACCCATTATAAGAAATATCCCATAATTCCCATAGTTTAGGGTCCTTAAGGTCATGCAGGTTTTATATCATAACCCTATAAACCCTAAAACCCTATAGATCCCTTAAAGGAACCCCTTAAAGGTACCCTTGTAGATCCCTTTAAAGGAACCCCTAGGATTTCTATCATCAACAGTAGAAGGAACCTTGAGGCTTCCGGGAACAGTACATCGATATTACACTTAGAGTAGGAACTTTCAAGAAGTTTTAGGGTTCAGGGTTCAGGGTTCAGGGTTTAGGGTTTAGGGTTTAGGGTTAGGGTTTAGGGTTTAGGGTTTAGGGTTTAGGGTTTAGGGTTTAGGGTTTAGGGTTTAGGGTTTAGGGTTTAGGGTTTAGGGTTCAGGGTTCAGGGTTAGGGTTTAGGGTTTAGGGTTAGGTTTAGGGTTTAGGGTTTAGGGTTTTAGGGTTTAGGGTTTAGGGTTTAGGGTTTAGGGTTTAGGGTTTAGGGTTTAGGGTTTAGGGTTTAGGGTTTAGGGTTTAGGGTTTAGGGTTTAGGGTTTAGGGTTTAGGGTTTAGGGTTTAGGGTTTAGGGTTTAGGGTTTAGGGTTTAGGGTTTAGGGTTCAGGGTTTAGGGTTTAGGGTTTAGGGTTTAGGGTTTAGGGTTTAGGGATCATTATTATTGCCATGACTGGTATTACTGTTACTGCTATTGTTGCATTTCTTGCTATGACGGCTATTATTACTACTATTGCGATCATTAGTATTATTACTATTAATACGATTGTGGAATGTATAGTTTTGACATTTGTTACTACCCTAAACCCTAAACACCCTAACGGACGATTACCATTAACGGACGATTACCATTGTGATTAGTATGATTCTTGTTAGTATTACTATTCCTTAAAGGAACCCTTGTAGTAACCTTTATAACAACCCTTTAAAGGAACCCTTATAGTACCCCTAATTTTCGGCAACTCCTAATAGAAGAACCCTACCTTAAACCCCAAACCCTAAACACCCTAAACAGACTACTGGTAGAACCCTACTACAGACCCTTAACGACTTCTTAGAGAAACCTTAAAGCCCTAAAACCGCCAAAAAACCCTCAAACCTTAAAGCACCACAGATCCCCTAGAGATCCCTTTAAAGCAACCCTCTAGATCCCTTTAAAGGAACCCTAAAAACCCAGTAGATGCCGATTTTGTCGGTGGTGGCGGGGTGGACCAAGGCAAGAACAAAACATTGGGCTTGGGGTTTGAGGGCTTTCAGCCCTTTACGGGATGTATAGGGCTCCTGTAAAGGGATCTATAAGTCTATAAGTGATCTATGGTGTTTTAAGGTTTGAGGGTTTTGGAGGGTTTTAGGGTCTAGAGCTTGACTTATAAACTCTGGCTCAAGATTTGTCCGTGGCTCAGGTCCCGGCGACCGTCTCTGAAGTAGGCCGTACCTGTGGGACGCTGTGTCTCGGCAGCCGGAGGTCAGTATACAGAGGGGCGTCGATAACTAAAACACGATAACACTTGACACCCTAAGCCCTAAAAAAAACCTAAAACCCTATAAACCCTTAAAAAAAACTAAACCCTACACTCCTAAAACCCAAAAAAAGCCTAAGACCCTAAAACCCGATAAACCCTAAAAAACCCTAAACACCCCAAAGAAGCCCTCCGGTCCGGTTGGCCAAGTCCAGCTGCCGAGGCCCAAGCCACGTAGGGGTCGGTCAACTTGCTCTCAGGATCCACCTGGTTTTCTAAGCTCTAGAGTTTAGGGCTTAGGGGTTTAGGGTTTAGGGGGTTAGGGTTTAGGGTTTTAGGGTTTAGAGTTTAGGATTTAGGGGTTTCGGGTTTAGGGTTTAGGGTTTGGGGTCTTAGATCCACCTGGTTTTCTAAGCTCTAGAGTTTAAGGCTTAGGGGTTTAGGGTTTAGGAGGTTAGGGTTTAGGGTTTTAGGGTTTAGAGTTTAGGGTTTAGGGGTTTCGGGTTTAGGGTTTGGGGTCTTGGATCCACCTGGTTTTCTAAGCTCTAGAGTTTAGGGCTTAGGGGTTTAGGGTTTAGGGGGTCAGGGTTTAGGGTTTTAGGGTTTAGAGTTTAGGGTTTAGGGGTTTAGGGTTTAGGGTTTGCGGTCTTGGATCCACCTGGTTTTCTAAGCTCTAGAGTTTAGGGCTTAGGGGTTTAGGGTTTAGGGGGTTAGGGTTGAGGGTTTTAGGGTTTAGAGTTTAGGGTTTAGGGGTTTCGGGTTTAGGGTTTGGGGTCTTAGATCCACCTGGTTTTCTAGGCTAGACCAGAGACTCTGAGGACTTCTTTCAAGGTTCGTTTAATGGATCTATAGGGCTTAGGGTTCGAGGGGGCTTAGGAACTAAGGCTTAGGGCCGTGCGTTATCCACCTGGTTTTCTAGACTCTAGGGCTTTTCAGGTTCCCTTTAGGGGATCTGCAGGAGTTCCTTTAAAAGGGATCTATAAGGGATCTTTCGGAGTTTAGGGCTTTTAGGGGTTTAGGGGTTCGAGAGTTTAGGGGGTACTGTAGGGTTTTGGAGGTTTGGGGGGGTTTTGGGGGGGTTTAGGGCTTTAGGGGGTCTGGGGGTTCATCTTAAAGGCGAAGCCACACACTGCAGAAGTTTTCCCAGTAACCGTAAACGGACTCCTTTAAACCCCCTAAACTCTCGAACCCCTAAACCCCTAAAAACCCTAAGCCCTAAACTCCAAACTTAACCCTGCAGATGCCTTAAAGGTACCCTTTATACCCCCCTAGAAACCCCAGCCACCCCGGCCTCCACCAGCGGGCCGCCTGCTGCCTTCGCCTCGCTTCGGCTCTTTCTTTTTGGCTTCGGCTCTCAGGTTTCAGACTTCGAGGGCTTTGATAGAGTTTTTTTATTGAGGTTTAGGGATTAGGGTTTAGGGCTTCGAGGGCTTTGGGGGCTTTGAGGGGTCCCCTTTAAAGGAATCCTCAAGGATTAGGGTTTAAGGTTTCGGGACTAGGGCTTCGTAGGGCTTTGGGTGTCGGGTTTAGGGCTTTGAAGGCTTTCGGGGCGTTCAGGCCTTAAGGGTGCCTCTCAAGGTTCCTTAGGGTTTAGGGTCCCCTTTAAAGGATTCTAGGGTTTCGGGATTAGGGTGTAGGGTAGTTCAGGGTTTGGATTCTACAAGGGGTTCTTCAAGGGTTTCTGGCTTAGGGTTTTAGGGTTCAGGTTTTGGGTTGAGGCTTCAAGGTGTGGGGCTTGGGTTCCGGTTAGAGAGTTCAGGGCTTAGGTTAGGGTGCAGATTCGAGTACCTCCGTTTCTTTGGCCGTATCATCAAGGTAGGACCTCGTAATTTGCGGGGTTTAGCGCAACAGGTAAACTCAAGACCCTGAAACCAAAACTCGGAGTTTAGGGTTTAGGGGTTTAGGGTGCAGGGTTTAGGATATACACACCCCAACCGAAGGCGCGACAAACAGGTCCAGGGTTCTGTACACCCGATGATTCTGACTTTGGTGGTGTTGAGTTTGGGTTTTTAAGGCCCCCAAGCAGGATTCTAGACCCCTTCCACGAAGCCCGATCGAACCCTGGTAAACAAGCCGTAAATCTACACCCAAAGTCGGAGCCCGAAAAACACTCTGTGAACACCCACCGAGACCCTCTGCACTATATGACCCACAAAAACTCACTGTACAAACAATGTACCCTATTTCCCGCGACCTAGACCTCAAACCCGCCCCTAAACAGTGAAAACCCGACACCCTTGAAACCCCAAACAAACCCCGGCCTCCTCTGAAACGCTACGCAATCGGTGGTGAGTCACCACGGCGCACTCCTGGCTGAGGGCAGGGCTTTCTTGGTGTTAGGGCTTCACGGCGTGTCGGGCTCTCAGGGCTTTCGCCCTTTCGGGTGTTTAGGGCGTTCAAGGTTTCGGGCCTACACGTTGTATGGTTTGGGCATTGTTGTGTTTTATGGCATAACGGGCTTAGGGTGCGTTTAAACTTTTTGCGATTCAGAGCTGCATGGTGTTGATCCGCAAGCAAGGCCATGCACACGTCAGGATTTACGCCAAAGTTTGCGGTCGAGAGCTGGTCGGCTTAAGACGGCAGCGCGTTTGCTAAGCGATTGAACGCGCACAAGCACGCCAACCCACTGTTTGCAACGCCAACGGTGCTCAGACACGAGCTGTAAAACAGACATGTCATGAGTTTCGGAAGAACAGTGATCCCAGGCGGTCGGCTGCGGTCAAGCCCTGAGAAGGCGTGTGCTCTCAGTGCCGTTTAATAGTATTCAGCATCTTACAAAGTTTTTGGCTTCGGAGCTCTCCGACCCTACTCAAAGGTACGTGGGACCTTATTAACAACTGGGGTTGAAGAAATGACAACCATGCTTATAAGGGTTTATAGTGCCAGTGAAAGCACTCAACTGTACATACAAAATCCCACGAACATCCAGTTACAGAGCTTGCGCGACCACAACGAAAACTGAACAACCCACCAACAGCAAGCCCAAATCCAAAGCCTAAATCCCTGTGTACTTAAGCCGCAATCTTGAACACTACACCGAGACTGGAAAATGTTAGGGAAACTAGAATTTAATGACCACCTACCCATGAAGCATTCTTCTGCAAAGCTTCTAACAACCCTTAACTTCCAACGTCCAGACATAGAGCCCCAAACACGACCCTCAGAGTTTAGGAACGGACCCTAAACCCCGAACACGGAACACCTCGGTGGTCCTTGGCGAAGCCGTCGACATGACTCGCTTCCTTCGACAGGAAGCTGACCTTGGGGTCAAAGTGCCAAAGCGCACCCTCTGTAGAGAAGTATGAAAGGGTTTAGGGCTTACATGTTTAGGGTTTGGGGTTTTGGGGTTTCAGGGTTTGGGCTTAGGGTTTCGGGCATGAGAAGAGGCATGCTAGCGGCAGTTTCGAGGCATGCTAGTAGGCATAAGGTTTTGGGTATGCTGTCGGAAAAATGTAAGAAGGAACCCTACGAGTATTGGCAATTGTTCTTCAAGCTCCACATACTGTCCCGGTGTTGACAGGTGATTGAGGCACGCCACCAACATCATTCCGCGGCGCTATATTATATGGCTAGCTGTCAAAATGATGGTCCTTTCGGTCAAACCTTTTGTACCGAACCCTATAGTTTGGGAACCCCGCAGGGGCCCTACCTTTGACAACCACCCATATGTCCATTGCTGCCCCTGAGCCGACAGGACTGATTGAACCCTAACCTTAAAACCCTGGTCCCTAAACCCTTAAACCCAAACCCCAAAAAAACAAAAAGCCCTAAAAACCCTGAAAAACATAAAATCCTGAAACCCTAAACCCTAAGACCCTGAACCCTAAACCCCCTGCCAAGGCGAGACACGGGGATGAGCACCGGGAAGTAGGCATTCTGCACACCCATCGCCTGCTTCGGCTCCAGCAACCGATGATCCGAGTCCCAAGCCCTACAACGCGTTTAGGGTCTTGGGGTTTAGGGTTTAGGGTTTATGGGTTATGGGTTTAGGGTTTAGGGTTAAGGGTTTAGGGTTTGGGGTCTGCAACCCTCAAACCCTACATAGATATTACATAGATTCAACTATATACACACACAACCCCAAACCTTCGGCCCTAAATTCATTATGCAACCCCTGACATCAGGCTTTGCAAGCCGGACATCGTGCCACTCCCTTTGTGGGTTCCTGGGGATGCTCTAAAGGGTTCCTTTATGGGCTCCTTCAAAGGATAACTCTACGGGTTCCTTTGAAAGTTGGGGTTGAGGATTTGGGGTGTTCTTTTTTGAGTGCAGTGGCTTTTCTCAGGATTAGAGTTGTAGGGTTCAGGGTCTAGAGTTTGAGGTCTAAAACCAAATTGTTGGCCCTCACGAAAGATCATCTCTTCCCACGTGGAGGGTGATGGGGAAAAGCTAGTAAGGTTATGATAATCTTGACATTGAGCCTAACTACCTTGTTTACAGCCGTAGTTGCTACGTCTCATGAACCTTTACATCAGTACTAAACCCCTGAAGATCCCTTATAAATCCCTTATGGCGCGGCACCTTTTGAGAAATCCTTTTAAGAAACCCTGTAAGGAACCCTCGGAGGAACCCTAAACGGTCCGAAACCCTAAACCCTGACCTTTAAGGAAGGCTTCAAGAAACCATCCCATCACTGCCTTGATCTTTGGATCCAGGAGGCGCTGGATGCCCTCCCACCTGACATGCAGGTTTAGGGTTGAGGGCTTAATGTCTAAGGTTCCCTTAAACGGATCTATAGGGCTTCTTTTAAAGGGATCCATAAGATCGAGTGCCTTTTGTTTTTATGCGCCCCTTTCCGTCTGCATGAGCGTTACCCACTTCGAGTGGAGCCGGGTTGGTCGGAGCCGTTTTGGACGGATTTAAAGGGATACTATAAGGGCACTATAAGGGTTCCCTTAAAGGGATACTATAAGGGTACTATAAGGGTCCTTGATATGGGTGGTTGTCAAAGTTATGGTCCCTTTTTGGGTACCCTAAATATTAGGTGCCGTACTATGATAAGGACCCAAAAAGGGACCCTAATTTTGAGAACCACCCACAGGGTTGAGGGTTTAACGTTTAGGACCTGGGGTCTAGGGTTGCGGGTTGTTTACGGGGTTTAAAGGGTTTAGGGTTTAGGGATTAGGGTTTAGGGTTTAGGGTTTAGGGTTTAGGGTTTAGGGTTTAGGGTTTAGGGTTTAGGGTTTAGGGTTTAGGGTTTAGGAGGAGGGTCGCGGGACTTAGTAAGTAGGTAAGAAGTAGACTTATAAGTACCCTAACAGGGATCCTAATTGGGGTTATGATACTTATAAGTCTATACAAATAACTACTAAGTCCCCCGACCCTCCAAGTAGGAGGAGGGTTCGAGGTTCGGAGTGTAGAGCTTCGAGGGTTCTGGGGTTGGGGGTTTAGGGTCGCAGGTGTCTGCACTACGACGTCGAGGTTTATCTTTCTGGGAGCTTTTTAGGGTTCCCTAATATGATTTCTTTATATAAGTCCTTTAAAAGGTAGGGTACTTGAGGTTAAGATATACCCTAAACCCTTGATCCAAAATCCTACTGTTTTAAGGGTCAGACCCTCCACTTAACAAATCATAACCTACTATTTTGCAGGGTTTGGGGATACAGGTAACCCTAAACCAAAACCGTCACTACGGCTGCCTGAGGCCCGTGCACTGCGAAGCCGTTGGGCTTGAAAATTTTGCATCCGCGCCTCTGGGGTGCTGAGAGGATCTCGAGCGGCTGCTGGGGAAGGGGCGGCTTACCAGCTTCCCTAAGCTTAGGGTTTGGAGTTTAGGGTTGAGGGTTGAGGTTTTTTGGGAGCTCCTTTTGGATGTCCGCCAGGCAGTCGGCAAGCACTAAGGCCTGATCAGGCCAGGAGTTCCAGGGTTTAGGGTTTAGGGCCTCGGGTTGCTCATACTTCCAGGTTTCTTGAACGTGCCGAGTCCGAAGCAACATGCGTCCCATCTGAGCAAGCAGCAAAAAGCAGAAAGCTGCGTGCATGCTAATCGCTCCGTGACCGAGATGTATTCCCGACTTCGCCCACAACAGTCACAGTAGAAGCCCAAAAGTTGGAAGGGAATCCCAGCACTATTTGGCCTGAATCCGGTTTCCAACTTTATGGGGTTCAGGGTAGGTCCCTAGACCCTAAACCCCTAATCCCCTAAACCCTAAACCTAAAGCTCTCTTTAAAGGAACCCCTCATAGATCCCTTTAAAGGGAACCCCCCCAAACCCTATGGGGTTTACTCTAAGGAAACCCCAGAATTCACAAACCAAGTCATACACCGTCGGCCCTGCCGATACCGCTGAGCAAACCCAATCCCCCCAAGCCCCTGAGACTCCAATATGGGAGTTTCCGAAAATGAGGGGTACCTTACTATCCGAAAATGAGGGGTACCTTACTATATTAGGGTCCCTTATTTTCGGAAACCCCCATATCAGGGTTTCGGGCTTTGGGTTTAAGGAACACCTAGGGTTCCTTTAAGGGGTCCTGTAAGGGATCTGTAGGGGTTAGGGTTTGTGGGACTCCAATATCCCTTAATTACCCAGACCTTCCAGAATCCGTTAATTAAGGGCTCCTTTCATTTACGGGGTCTATAGGGTTAAGGGTTTAGGGGATTCCACTACCCCCTAACTCAGGAATATTCGTAAATCATATTAGGGATCCTTCTATCATTTGAGGTATATTCAATATTCCTTTTAATTCCCGTATTATAGATCCCTCTGAGGAACCCATTTGTAGGTATATTCCTGAATTGAGGGATATTGGAGTCTCGGGTTCTTGACTCTGGGCCATCCCACGGCTTCAAGAACACGCCTCGACCCCTAATGTAGGGCCTTAATAATTAGAATAGGGTTCCTTTAAAGGGTTCTTAAAAAGGATCGTATAAGGGTTACTATAAGGGCTACTATACAGAAAGGGTGTAACACTGAGGCCTTAATAATTAGAATAGGGTTTGGCGCCCAGTATTCTATAATTACCATGGGGAACCCCCAAAACTAGTATTGGTGATTATTAAGGCCCCTGTATTACCCATCAACCCTGAGTGGACAATCACACGGCTTAGCAACTAAGCTTACAAGTATGCTCATTGGGATTCTCGAAGTACTTGTGGTTCTAGTCAAGTCTACTTACCTGAGTTAAAACCTAGGAACCGAGTTCCAATGATCCTTTACTACGTACCGATTTCAACCATCCCCAACATGATTCATAAGTCGGGCAACAGATTGATACCTACGGCTGTCGAATAAATCCTGTATTGCCTGAGGACTCTAACCTGTGGGAATTATGGTCTGTTCCTTATTACTTGGATGATCATGGGACTTAGTAAATCAGGTTGTAAGTACAAGATTCGGGGGTATAAGCATTTATAGGTATGGTTACCGTATATATAACCCCAGTTACTAAGTCCCATGATCCTTCAAGTATGGGTAGTGCAGGTTTTATCTCATCAACCGAAATTTAAGTAGCACCAGGTCAGGTCTCCAAAATCTGATAAGGTTTGTTTTTTTTTGCGATGGGGTCCTCTGAAGGGGCGATGCAGGATTCCGGGAAATTCGGGAGTCGAGATTCCAGGGTTTCCGGTTTGGGGGTTCCGGGCTCGGGGAAAGGCCTAGCATGGAAATACCAGCACCGGAGCTGAGAAAGGGACACCGGAGCATCGTCAATCAAATCTGCGGCGCTGATAACGTCGAGATACCACGCTGACCAGTCCTGACATGGGAGTTTCCGAAAATTAGGGGTACCTTATTTTGGGGTCCTCGTTCTAAGGGTCCTACCATTTAAGGTACTATATTAGGGTCCCCTATTTTCGGAAACTCTAAACCTCAACCCTTTATAGAACCCTTATAGAACCCTTAAAGGAACCCTTTAAAGGGTCCCCTATTTACGGAAACTCCCACATCGAGAGCCACCTAAAGAGGACGCTCCAGGCTCCAGCATGGGATGACGCCTGCGAGGGTCTTTAAAGGGATGTATAGGGTTCGTTAAAGGGATCTATAGGGTTCCTTAAAGGGATCTATAGGGTTCCTTAAGGGGATCTGTAGGGTTTAGGGTTTAGGGTTCTACTTGGAGGTTCATGGGACTTAGTAAGTACAGTTATAAGTACCCTAATGGAAATTATAAGTACATATAAGTATAGTTACCTTAATTATAACTCTAGTTACTAAGTCCCATGAACCTCTAAGTACGGAGTCCTGAACTGAACCCTAATTCCTCATCCACTCATCAAACATCATCGAAATGCCAGTCCAAGACCCTCGGTCCTCAAAGGTGATGAGTTGCGCGCAGACAGGACATGAAGACATGAAGAAGGAGCTCGGCTCTTGCATCAGGGAAAATCAGGGTTTAGGGTTTAGGGTTTAAGGGAATTCATGCGGTACATAGATATGAGTGGTTGTCATCAACATTAGGGCCCCCTTTTTGGGTCCTTATTATAGTACGGCACATAATATTCAGGGCCCCTTTTCGGTAACTACCCGTATGAAAGAACTCGCTCTAAACTTACTACATTACACCCTACGATCTTCCCCAAGGCAGCCCCCATCTTCGGATTACTAGAGCCTGCAAGCCCTGAAAACAAGAAGCAACCTAGGGCCTAGGGCCCCCAAGAGCGCCCTAAACCTCAAAACCCTAAACCACAGAATCGTTACTTCACCCTAAACCGCAAAACAACAGACTAGCAAGGAGCCCTGGACGTGCATGGCCTCCGCCCCCCAGTCAGTCCTCAGACCGGGGCGTGATCTTAATATCGGGCTCGACGGCCTTTTTCTTGCCCTGGGCAGTGGTCTAAAGGATTTCGGGGTACTGAGAGTTTAGAGTTTAGGGGTTAGGGTTTAGGGCGATGTACTGCTTCGGGTCCGTTTCGGGCTTCGTGGCTTGAGATTTGGGCTTCAGGATAAGGGCTTTGAGGGTTTCAGCCGCAGGGCTGTAGGATAAGTTAGTGATTGACAGCTTCGCACCTCTCCTCCGATGTCCAATGGGAATGTTGAGGGAGAATGCTGGGGATCCGCTCTGGGGGTCTGAGTTTGAGATTCGGAACATGGGAGCTTAGGTCCCTAAACTTCCACCAGAAATCCTAAAAAACCTAAAACCCCAAACCCTAAACCCCAAAACCCTAGAACCCCAAACCCTAAACCCTACAACCTCAAACCCTAAACCCGAAACCGGGACGTCATGGATTTAAGGGTTCAGGCTCCAAGGGCTTCCCCGTCATTCTGCTCCCCTAGACGACTAAGGCTGCGAGCGTCGGAGCTCTGATGGTAGTTTAGGGTTTAGGGTTCGGGTTTAGGGTTTAGGGTTTAGGGGCAGCAGCAAAAGCAAAACTAGCACCAGAAGTGGGAGTAAAGAGCGACAGTAGCAGAAGCCGGTAACAGTCGCAGCAGCGGTGATAAAATCAGATCTTTGGATAGGATGGAAGCAGGCAGGGGTTGCAGCGGCGTTGATTGTCATAGTCGCAGTGGCATTGATCGTCTGGAGCAGCGGCAGCAGCAGAACGAGCAGAAGCAGAAGCAACGACTGCGAGTAGTTTCTTCCGACACTTTATGGAACTTTACTGGAAGAAGAAACGGTACTGCGTGATACTGATAGAAAAAATGGTGGTGAGTATGATCATGCTCGGCAGCACGAAGATGAACAGGAGTATGCTAAATCCCCAAGTCGGTAAAAAACAAGAAGGATACCCGGAGCCTCCAAAACCCGTGAATTAAGGTCTGTACTGACAGCATAAGGAGCCCCGAAAGCCAATCATTTACATTACACTCCGTAACTAAGCTCTTTGTTTAGAGTTTCTAAAGACGACACCTACTGCGGGCTCAGACCCTTGGCTTGGGAAGAGCCAAAACTAAATCCCTTACAAGGCACACTATAAAGCACCGTATGAATCCCCAACCGAGGAGATCCACTTCTGAGATCCACCCCCAGAACTCCAAAACGCCAACCCCTAAACCCCCTAAACCCTAAACTCCAAATCCCTGAACCCTAAAACCCTGAACCCTAGACTGCAGAATCTGATGGCCTTGGCGATGACCCTGGGCTCCAGACCTGGCTCTGGTCGCCGTTCCGCGGCTTCGGGCGTAGATGAGGTTCGGGGTTTAGGGTTTAGGGTTCAGGGTTTTAGGGTTTAGGGTTTAGGGTTCAGAGTTTAGGGTTTCGGGTTTAGGGTTCAGAGTTTTAGGGTTTCGGGTTTAGGGTCCTGCAAAGCTGTTAGAAGCCCCCTTCGGAAACGAGACACTGAGTGTACGGCCGGTTTAGTTTGTGTTAAGGACCCTTTTCGTCGCATGCGCTCCGAAGCCCGCTTAGGGCAAGCAAAGTTCGACTCATGCACAGGGTTTAAGGTCTAGGGTTTAGGGCTAGGGCTTCAGTTTGAGGGATCGGATTCGGTGTTGCGGTTTGGGGGCTGAGGACTGGGGCTGAGGTTATCGGGGTTCGGATCTGGGCATTTTGTCTTCTAGCCCATTCGCACGTGACGCTCCCTTTCGAAACCTAAACGCCCTTGACCCTAGCATCTGCCCCTAACCCTAAACCCATAAACCCTTTTCCCTGAATCCGAAATCCTGAGCACGCACTCCAATCCTGCACGCCGCATCCTACAAGCCCCACCCAGAGGCTCCAATATCCTTTAATTAAGGAATAAGCCCTAAAATATGAATAGCTGGATCCCTCATATGATCTACGGTATATCCCTGAATTAAGGGATATTGGAGCCTCTGGGGACGAAGTCAAACATGTCCGGCCTCTGGCAGGTGCCTGGCCGACCCAAACCAGCCCGGCCGTCGAAAACGCCTGGGCTGGAGTTGAAGAGTTTAGGGTTTCATTTGGGGGTCTCAATAACTATTTTGGGTGTTCCTAACTATCATTATTGTAGATTATACCCCCAAAACCCCCTTCTGATTATTAAGGCCTCTGATAGGTTCTTCCCGGCCGTGAAGCTTGCGGGGCCTCCGCTTCAAGGCTCATGGCGTTTCGGGGCTTGGGGTTATTAAACTTTAAGCCTCAGGGTTTCGGGCGTAAGGCCAGGAGTTCTGGGTTCAGGGTTTAGGGCTTGGGCTAGGGGCTTACGGCTTAGAGCTTGGGTCATGTGGGTTTATGAACTCCGTAGTGGGCCTTCATGGGGCTTTGCACGGGTTTCTGGTCTCGGTGGTCTTATGGGAAACTGCGACCTGAGCATAACAAGCCCATTTACAATACTCGTAGCATTAGCCTAAACCCTAAACTGTACTTGCGAAAGGTTTGACCCAAACGAACCCCAGCCACACTCCCCCTCAGAGTCTTAGAGTTTATGAACTTCGACCCGTGAAAATCATACCCCAAAAAAGACCCTGCAATAAGGTCCGGGTTTCGGGTTTTGGGTTTTTGGGTATAGCTTACAGTTTAGGGTTTGGGGTTCATCTAACCCTAGAAAGCCGACGGAAAGCCCTACACAAAAATGCTTGGCGAACACATAACGGTTTAGGGTTTAGGATTTGAGGTTTAGGATATTGAGGGTTACATGACATAAAACGATCATAACTCAAGCCCTCGAAATCCCACATGTCAGGCCCTGGCAACAGCCAGCAGCGAGTAGGCCGGCCGGGCATGCCATCCTTGCGATCGACGTAGAGGCTTAGAGGGCTAAAAAATTGCAAAAAAAATCCAGAGCGTGAAGTGTCAAAGGGCTCTCGTGCTTATGGAATTTGTGATTTTAGGGTTCTTAAAGAACTGCTGAATTGCTGATGCATTTCCAGGGGTTCTGCAAGGCCATCTACAGGTCTCAGCGCTTTGGATAAAGGCTTACCTGGGTTTAGGGTGAAGGCAGGTGCTACGTCAAGTCTTAAGGCTTGAAGCTTGAAATGTCATCATGAGGGGATTTATGAGTTGCCTATGCCCGCCGGTGTTCTGGATGATGGGATTGCAGTGTACAATGTGTGAAAAGTCACATCTGACATGGCCTCCCAGTGCCCCGCCCCAGGAAGCCAAACTTGACATTCAAAGCGCGATTGTATTGGCGACCAACGCGGAATCTGAAACACCCAAGCCATCCCAAGCCCGTCCACACCCGAACGTTCGAACTTCGTCCTTGCAGCTGACGAAGTGCTACGGTTTAAGCAGCCCTAAACCTTAAACCTAAAACCTTTAAACCGAACCCTCCCTGCTGCATCGACAGACGCCTCGACTGCACACCGAGAGTTGTGCAATTGAACAAATCCCTGTGAAATCAATACCGAGCCAGCTGCCACGCCTGCATTTGCTGCTCGACATGGCCGCACAGTCTTTGGACGCGCCATGCTCTCGCTTGTACTAGGCGCTCTAAGTGTCACGCTTGGTTTTTTCAGCAAATTGCAGACACATAACCCTAAACCCTAAACCCTAAACCCTAAACCCTAAACCCTAAACCCTGTGATTTACACTACCTGTTTCCTTCGCTCCCGAGCTTCAAAAACGGCACTTTCTCGAACACGGTTCTGCTGCCCATATCATCACCAAGAGATTTAAGATGACTCAAGAATACCTATACTTTTTTTGTGAGAGCCTAAATGAAAGCACTATGTCAAAATCAACCTGTGAAGAAATGCCCGCGACCCCAGGAGTCATTTTCTTTGTTAGTTCGAGACTTCGGCGTCAGTCACGTTCACAGACATAATGATTGTGCACCAGATCTCGGTGGCAGCAGCGGAAACAAAGACGATCAGCCAAGATCACAAAGTGCCACAATCGACCTGCTCGTGATTGCTCGTGAAAAGTGCTTGAGCTGGTTCGAGAACCGCCCGCCACCCCTGGCACACAAGTGAGGCGACTTGTCCTGTTTGACACAGTTCGTCATTAGAACATCCAGCAAACAGCTTTTGCGCTTCCTTCCATCTCTGAGTCCTTGGCATTTACAAGCCTACGGCTTGGCAAGAATGTACACAAATTGGATGAATCGGATGGGCAGGTGTCGAAATCATGGTCATCCGGCACCGAAAGAGCTGTGCGGGCTTGTCATCTACAGCCTCGATCCCAATCCCCAAACTCAAACGGTGGTGAGAGGGGCCTGGACTTCGACTGCGACCTGCTGTGAAGACTTAAGACGGGCTAATGCACTCTAAATCGATATCCGAGCCCTGGACTAGATGACAATGGTACCTGTCAAAATTCCTCTCTGCCGGGGTCATCTAGTCCGGACATCGCCTGCTGCCAACTCCGGAGATGCTGGAGCAGCGCTGTGATTAAAACTAGCCGCAGGGCACAACCTACGGCACAAAATTGTGCATGCTTTGCACTTAAAATGCTGTTCTCACAGCGTCAGCTTAGCTGCTTTCTTTCTGCCTCAGTTCACAAAGTGGATGCCGTAAACACAACCCACCAGCTTAGCTCCACACTCCGTCCTGTTCTGTATGCAACCTAGCATGTAGGTGTGTCGCCGATGAGCAAACTTAGTGGGAAAAAAGACAACTGTTAGCCTTGCACGAAAGTGCTGGCTTCGGCTCCGGCACAAAGCAAAGTCCATTCTTGTTTGCCCTTGCGGCTCAGACTTATCCTGGTCTGCTGCCTTTTGTTTTGGATTTGCGGGGGTCCTTACAACAAGGATTATATCGTTTTGGGGGCACACGGGGATTATGTTGCAGCTGCAGGACCCATCAGACAGTGGATGTTCTGACATTTTGCTAGCGGGATAGTACCACAGATTTATGCTCAAGGAGTCTTCCAGACTCTGCATGCAACTTCAATAGTACGGTGTTGAACCAGTCCCGCTTGCGTGGTGCTTCCGCAGAACAGATCAACCAAGGCCAATTCAGGAAAGGAAAAAGAGAAAAATGGCATGGCAGATTGGCAGAAGGCAAAGAAAGAGCAAGGAAGAACAGGTGCAACAGAAGGAGAGCGAGAGAGACCAAAGTCCAATCTGCTTTCGCGGCGAACACACCGTATCTTAATTTCCGGTGAAAAACGCATCGCCATTGAGCTGCCAGCAATTGCGCAGCCATCTCAGCTGCACTTTCATTTCAGGTACAAGAACCCCCGAAAGCACTGACGGAGCTCGAGCAATTTAGAAGTGTCTCTTTCCGGTTCACTCGGCAGCACACAAAACAAACGTACATGTGTATGTAGGCATATATATATATATATATATATATATATATATATATTTTTATGGGACCCGGAAAGAGTGGGTCCTTGGGATACACTTGTCTCCAAACCTTTCTCCTAAATCTCGGCGTCATTCCGAACCATTTTGATTCAGGCCCGGATCCAAAATCCCAGATTCCCTAGCAAGACCTCTGGGCAATCTTGGATCCGGGTCCGAATCGAAATGATTTGGAAATGATTCGGATGATTCGGGTTTTCGTCCCTCCTATCAACTAAATACATGTTGAATCTGTTGGAATACGGAAGGTTGCGCTTTGACCACTGCATTTTGCATTTCGAGCCTGTCGTGTTGTGACTAGTCGTCTTTTTGTGCTCTATAAATATCATGCAGTTCATGAGGGGAACTTAGCACCGGTAATGCTGGCTTCTTCTTTGGTGAGTTTGTTTCTTTCTTGTTGGTATTGTTCCTGCTGAACTGTCGCTGCTGATGCAGCATAGCCAACATACCCTCTCTCATACAGTTGTCATTGTCATGACCAATCCTGCCACTTTCTATTTCATTGTTTAGACGAGCACACCGAAGAAGTCTTAAAGATATCCAGAAGTTCGTTGAGTTCCACCTCGGCTTGTTGAAGACCAGCAGCATTGTACAACTAGGACAATCAGGTTTCATCTTGATGGAGAAGTTTACTACCTATGTGACAAGTCTTTAAATTTGACGACATTCAGTCGGTCTAATCACTAGTTTCATAATTTAGCGGATTGAACGGATTCAATACGAGGTTGCTGTTGGGCACACATCTGTACTTTGGCGATGTGATTGAACGCGCATGTAAGGTACTTGCTTACTACCAAACATTTTGGAAACTACTCCTTTCGTCCTGTACTAGATGTTAATCTCCACTTGAAGTCGCTAAACAAGAGAAAACCACTTCATTGACTTTGTTCGTCTGTGCATCATGTCCGGAGCTATACTCTTTGTCTACGATCGAAGACTTTACTTTGGGAAACTCGTGCCATCAGGAAAGTGTGCTGGCTTAACTTACACGCTTGTAAAGGTAAATGTAAAACATGCTTACTTATGTTGCATTATGTTTGCATTGGGGGCTATCTTAAAAGCGTGCTTCATGTTTGTATGGCTTCATCCAATGCTTGTCATTGGGTAGGATGGAAGCAGGCAGCGGTTGAAGCATAGTCGCGGTGGTATTCGTCGCCGGGAGAAGCAGCAGCAGCAGAACGAGCAGAAGCAGAAGCAGCCACTGAGAGTAGCTTCTTCCGACACATTACCGGGGGAAGAAGTGATACTGACAGCGAATGGCTGTGACTATGATCATGGGGAGCCCCGAGCCTCCAAAACCCGTGAATCAAGGACTATACCCTGATAGCATACGGATCCCCGAAACCCCATCATTTAAGCTACGGTACACTTCTTAACTAAGCTCTTCCGTTGGAGTCTCGCAAGCCGACACCTACTGCAGACTCATATCCCTGGGAGGATCCAAAAAGCTAGGACCCCCTGTGAGGGGTCTACGGTCTAAAGGTAAAAGCCCTGAAAACAAGCAGCAGCCCGAACCCTGAGGCGTAGAACCTAGGGCCCCCCCCGAACCCAAGAGCACCCTAAACCTCAAAACCCTAAACCGCAGAACCGTTACTTCACCCTAAACCGCAAGAAACAGGCTAGCAAGCCTGAATGAAAAGAGCCCTGGACGCACATGACCTCCCCCCCCACTTGAAGGATCGTGGGACTTTAGTAACTGGGGTTATCAACAAGGTAACCATACTTATAATTACTTATAACCCCAATTAAGGTACTTATAACCTTACTTACTAAGTCCCATGATCCTCCAAGCAGTCAGTCCTCCGACCGGGGCGTGATCTTAATATCTGGCTCCACTGCCTTTTTCTTGCCCTGGGCATTCCACTACGGGCTAGTCGACCTTAAGGGTAGCTTAAGCTACCCTTAATAGGGTCCTAATAGGGGTCTTTAGGGTCTAATAGCCCATAGTGGTTTGTAGGGTTTGAAGGATTTTGGGGTACTCAATGTTTCGGGTTTCGGGCGATGTACCGGGTCCGTTTCAGGCTTTGTGGCTTGAGATTTGGGCGTCAGGCTTGCGGGCTTCAGGGTTAGGGCTTTGAGGATTTCAGGCGCAGAGCTTTAGAATTTCAGGGTCTAGGTTTCTGGTTCAGGGCTCTGGGGTTCAGGTTTCGGAAGCAGGTCGAGGAGGCTCAGCATTTGATGGATTACGGGCTAGAGCAAACCAGTGCTTAACAGCTTCGCATCTCTCCCCGGATGACCATGTTGAGGGAGAATGCTGGGGATCCGCTCGGCATGTGTTTTGAATCGTTCAGGGTTCGAGGGCTTAGGTCCCCAAACTAGGATTTGAGGCTTCTGCCATTCTGCTCAAACGGCTAGGTCAGTGTCGGAGCTCTGATGGCTTTGGGAGAACAAGCAGCAACCGTAGCAGCAAAAGCAACACTGCCAGCAAAGGCAGACGTAGCAGTAAAGAGCGATGGCAGCCGGCAACAATCGAAGCAGTGGTGATACGATCGGACCTTTCGATAGGATGGAAGCAGGTTGCAGTGGCTTTGATGGTCATAGTCGCGGGGGTACTGGTCGCCGGGAGCAGCAGCAGCAGAAGCAGAAAGAGCCGAAGCAGAAGCAGCCACTAAGAGTAGCTTCTTCCGACATTTGACTGGGAGAAGAAATGATACTTAGTAACGGCTGTAAGTATGACCATGCTCAGCATACCCTGACAGCATAATAAGGATTCCCGAAACGCTATCATTTAGTTACACTCCTTACCTAAGCTTTTCTGTTGCAGTTTCGCAAGCCGACACCTACTGCAGGCTAAGAATTCTGGGAGGATCCAATAAGCTACGGGGACACCTTTAAGAGGTCTAAAGGTGTCCTTTGTCGGGTTCCTGTAAGGGCCCTAGCTCTATACGAGTCGTTTAAGGGTGCCTACTCTTTTGGCCCCACCCTACTTCATGGGGGTTAGGGCTATAAATAAGGCAACCATGAAATACCTATAACCCGAATTAAGGTACTTATAACTGTACATACTAAGTCCCATGAACCCGACAATACTTGTTAAAGGAAGCCTTTAATAAGTCCGAGGGAACCTCCAAGCAGCCCTAAACCCTAAAGTCTGATGGCCTTGGCGATGACCCTGGGCTCCAGACCTGGCTCCGGTCGGGGCTTACGGTTTTTCTTTTTTGTCGGTTTAGGGTTTAGGGTTATGGACCCTTTTCCATCTGCAGATACGGAAAGAATTCCGCGTTCAGGGTTCAGGGTTTAGGGCTCCGGGTTTGGGGCGTAGGGTGGTTTTAAGGGCTCTTTTAAAATGCACGCAGTCAAAGCCAAGGCTGTTAGAAGTCCCCCTCGAAGATGTGCAACTATCTGCAAGCCCGGGTCAACCAACGGTTTCGGCTTTAAGAGGGGCGATCAGGCTGGGTTGAGGTTGTCGGGGTGCGGGTCTAGGATTTAGGTTTTCTAGAATCTTCACACTAAGCTCAACCCTAAACCCTAAGCCCCAAACCCCAAAACCTAAACCGAACCGCCCATCCCACACGCCACATCCCAAGTCAAACCTCTCCGGCCTCTGGCTGGCGCCTGGCCGACCCAAGCCAGCCCGGCCGTCGAAAACGCCTGGGCTGCCCTGGTTGCCTAAAGGGTCATGGGACGTAGTAACTAGGGTTATAAATAAGGTAACCATACTTATAATTACTTATAACCCCAATTAAGGCACTTATAACCATACTTACTAAGTCCCATTATCCTCAAAGTACGGCCAAGGGTTCACAGTTTCGGGTTTAGGGCTGAAGGCCTTAAATGATCTGCATGGGGCGTTGCACAGGTGTTTGGTCTTGGTGGTCTTATGGCAGTCACAGATACAACATTCGCCCCACACCAACTGCAGCCACACTGCCCCACAGTTTAGGGTTTCTGGGGTTTGTTTAGCAATTGAAGAAAGTTTGGGGTTTGGGGTGCTTGGAAGTTCATGGGACTACAGTTAAGTACCCTAATTGAGATTATAAGTACATATAAGTGTAGTAACTTTAACTATAACCCTGGTTACTACGTCCCATGAACCTCTAAGTGTCAGGTTAAAGTTTATCTTACCCTCTAAAGCCGACAGAAAGGTCCTCTAAAACGCGTGGGAGATCCTCGATGCAAACTCAAACCCTCAAAGAGCCCAAACCCTAAACCTTGAATCCTGAACCCTAAACCTCTATAATCCTGTAAAGATTCCTTACAGGACCCCTTCAAGGAACCCCTAAAGGAACCCTAAGCCCTGAATCCTGAACCCCCAAATCCGAAACCCTAAACCCTCGAAGCCAGAGCACCTGAAAGGCGTTCAAACGGGAAGCTAATGGAACCCCCCCCCCCCCGCCGCCATTTTCAGGGCAATGCGAACGCATAATGGTTTAGGGTTCGGGATTTGAGGTTTAGGTTTTTAGGATTTTAGGGTTTCGGATTTGAGGTTTGGGGTTTAGGGTTACATGACATAAAGCAATCATAACTTAAGCCCTCGAAATCCCTAATGTCAGGCCGTGGCAACAGCCAGCAGCGAATAGGCTGGCCGGGCATGCCATCCTCGAGATCGACGAGGAGGCTTATGTAGAGGGCCAGAAATAGGGTGTAGGGTTTAGGGTTTAGTGCTTGCAGAGGTACACGGAGCAGTGTTCTGGATGATGGGATTGCAGTGTCAAGTGTGAGAAGGGGCATTTGGCATGAGAACCATGTGCCCCTGCAAGAACTCAACTTAAAATTTAACATTTCAACAAGCATTCTTCTGCAGCTGTAATGGCGGCCAACGTGAACCTGACACATCCAAACCCGGCCGCACAAATTTCTGCAAAATTGTCCTTGCCACTGGCGACATAACTTCAGGAGGCGACCAACACCAGGGTTTAGGGTTTAGAGTGGCCTACGATTCAATGTGGGGGTCTCGGAAAATGAGGGGCCTTGTTTTGCGGTCCTTATCATAAGGATCCTACTATTTAGGGTATTATATTCCCCCTATTTTCCGAAACTCCCATGTAAGCAACCTTGTGCAATAAATTCCTTGTGACTCCCATAAGGTAACAAACCGGCGGCCACAGCCTCCAATTCCTCGACATGGCCGCACAGTCTTTGGACGCGCCATGCTCTCGTATCTGCTAAACGTTTTACGTGCCATGTTTGTTTGCGCAACTGATGATTCCAACAACATCTTGCGAACCAATGTCACTCGATTACACTGCCGGGTAACATCGCTCGCGAAGTTCTGACCGCCCTTCCTCCAACAAGGCTCTGCTGCCTTCTCACCACCAAGAGATTCAACATGGGCGAAAGTTTGAAGGCTAAGGGCTACTTGGAGCTTGAAAGGGGCATTTTATTTAATTACCATGTTCCGCATCCCAGCGAATCAACGGCAACAAATCGAACATCTTGCCGTGTGACCCACAAGCCAACGGCGCTGCCCAACTCACACCTCATCGGTTTAGGGTTTAGGCTTCTCGATTCCTCTGCAGTGGGCTCGCGCATTTGGACGGTGCCTCGTGCGTTTTACCTCTCCCAATCCGCACACTGACACTTGCTTCTACCTGAGAGCATTGGCATTCAATCAAAAACGAGGGCTTCTACAGCCACTTGGGTTGGAGCCTAGGCGATTACTACTCGGCAATAAGTGCCGAGGAAGGCTCTAGGCTTGAGTTGACAAGATTGATTGAAACTCGGTGAAGCAATCTGAAGTCTGTCAACGAGGTTGACTCATCCCTACACAGCTTCTGTCATGTCCAGTTTGGGCTCGCACTTTCAACTTTTTGACTGCATTTCGCCGCGAGCACATCATGCGCCAGCGCTGAGCCACGACGCGCCCTGCGCCCGCTGCGGCCATGTCAGCTGCAGACCTTCGGTGTGTTTCACGGACATCGTCTGCAGGGGAAGGTCGAGTGCAGGACATGCAGAGTGCAGGAGTCTCCATCGCGCTCTTTCTGCACGCCAAGCAATCGAATCAGCTGAGAAAGCCGGGAGACAGCGCAACCGCACAAAAGAACGCTGCCAGGCCTGAGGCCCGAAGCTGCTCCTGTACAGGGGGCGCTCTCACTTGGGGCCCTCGAACCTCCAGCCCGGAATGGGGCTGCTGGCGCTTTGGACCTCCACCACCTGCCATCGCTCCCAGGCCCAGTCCTCCGGCAGGTCCTTGGGATTCCTCACTGGGCTGCCGAAGATGTCTCCTGCCAACACGTTCATGCTCAGGAAGCGATTGTGCTCGGCGTTGTGTAAGGCGACTTCGTTGTGTCCCAGAGGGATCACCTGGAACCTCTCCCAGGCGAAATGATCCGGCAAATCCTCGGCCTTGATGCCGGGAGTCACTGAGACCTTGGAATGGTGTGGGTAGTGTGGGCTGGGTGGGTCGTTCCACATCTTCACGAAACCGTTCCACTTTGTGTTGTGCAACGCGATCTCCCCTTTCCCGGCATCCACCACGGTGAATTCCTCCCAATCCCACCCCGGCGTCCACGTTTCTGATGGCTCACTCCTGTCCATGTCCCAGCCGTTCATGCGGAGCCAGCGCTTGTTTGCCGCACTGTACAGACCCACCTTCGCGCCGGGTTGCAGCATAGGCTTCAGCACGTCGACGTGGAAGCGCTCGTACCTCCATATGGGAGTTTCCAAAAATGGGGGGCCCTAATATAGTACCCTAAGCAGTAGGATCCTTAGTATAAGGACCCCAAGATAAGGTACCCCCTTTATGTTCGGAAACCTCCATCCATCGGGAATGGTTTCCGGAGGTCCTCCGAAGTGCACGGAGCTCATGCCATGGCCCGGAAGCATCTTCACGAAAGCTTTGTGATCGTGGTTGAACAGAGCAATCTCACCATCGCCGACGTTCACCACCTCGAAAATCCTGGGTTCTTGTTAAAGAGCTTAATCTAAGCTACCATAGTAGGGATCTGTGTACATCATATGGTGTCTTTCTTATGGTCACCCTAAACCCTGAACCCTAAACCCTAAACCCGAAACCCGAATCCGTTAACAAGAGCCCAGAATCTGGTTGGTCCAAGTAGGCTGCCACCGGCTGACAGAAGCAGGGAAGGTGTGGACGTTGCCCGGGCCCACACACAGAAAGGAGCTCCACCTTCGGGTTTTTTTGTTAAGGAATTTGGTTTAAGCTACCTTAGTTTAGGGTTCCGTTACGGGTTCTATAAGCTTATAAGGGCTTAAGGGTTGAGGAAGTTAAGTTACCATAATCGGGATCTATAGTTCTTAACAGGGTTTCTGAATTTATGGTAACTTACTTGAAGGCCCTTACAGGGATCTATAGTTCTTCATAGGGTTTCTTTATTATGGGAACAGTAATTTAAGGCCCTGGAGGACAAGAACCCAGCCTTTGATTGTACAATGCAACGCGGCCGTTTCCTGCATCCACCACCGTCCAGCGCTCCTGGGTAGTTGTCAAAATTATGGCCCCTTCTTGGGTACCCTAAATACCAGGTGCCGTGTTATAATAAGGACCCAAAAAGGTACCATAATTTTGACAACCGCGCTCCTGAACCGCGTGCGAAGGAAGCATGCCGAAGGGGGTGTGACCGCTGCCGTGCACGTTGCCGTTGGCGTGGACATTGATGTATTCGTTGAAGAATTTGCTGTGGAGCCCCACTGTGGTGCCGGGAATGAGGAGGGGGGGCGGAAAGCTGTTTGAAGAGAAGTGGTTCAGCACCTCGATGGCCTTGTCCGCACTGGTCTGCGACACAAAGGGGAGAGCCTGCAACACCACCTTGAACTGTTGCACAACGTCCACCAAGTGGACATCCCTCGGAACGGACCTGTACGGCCCGAAACCCATCTGCGTGCGCAGCTCGAAGATGTTGCCGTCAAGCACGCCCGCGAGATTGAAGTTGATGTCACCCGGCTTCTCGAATTTGAAGAGCTGAAAGACATCTACATCTGCTTGGGCCTCCGCCTCATCTTCCTCCCCATCCTTAATCTCTGTGTCTGTCTTGGTGGACATCAAGGAGCTCTCGCTCTCCTCGTCGGCCTCGTCGGCCTCCTCGGCCTCGGCCTTCCGATGCTCCCTGGCCCGCCTGGCCTGCCTGGCCTTCCTCAGCTCTGCGAGGCGCTGGGCGGCAGCCTGGCCCTTGAGCTCCGAGGTGATCTTCAGCCCCGAATCCAAGCTGTAGCTGGCGGAGGCCAGGTAGAGCTCCTCCGGATCCATCATCCACTGCCAGACGCCTTCCTCCATGTCTGAGCTCTGGTTACTCTGCAGGAGATTGGTCCTCGAGATCTTTTCACGCGGGTTCGCGATAGTCTCCCAGCTGGAGGAGCTGGGCTTCACGTTCTGAGGGTCCCAGGTGGTGCCGCTGCCGAAGCGCTTCGTGAGGCGCAAGGTCCTCTTGTGAATAAGGCAACCATACTTATACTGTTACTTACTTATAACCCCAATTAAGGTACTTATAACCCCAACTAAGGTACTTGTAACCCCAACTAAGGTACTTACAACCTTATACTTACTAAGTCCCATGATCCTCTCGTAGAGGAGGACGCCACTGGACTTGAAGCTCGTGCGGAGGAGGCTGAGGTCCAAGCCCCCCGGCCGACCTCTCGGCCAACAGACCGTGGTTTCCACCGTGGCAAGCGGTGAGGGCATCACCTGGGAGTTTCCGAAAACTAGGGGGTACCTTATTTTGGGATCCATATAATAAGGATTATTATTATTATTATTATTACTATTATTATATATAGGGTCCCCAATTTTCGGAAACTCCCACCTCGAAGGTCAAGCCACCCACCAAGGAGATGGAGGGCTGGACACTGAAGGAGAAGCTCACTGTCAAACACTTCTCGACGGCCAGGGAGCCCGTGTAAAAGGAGTAGCCCTGCCATTTGTCCCAGTGGTCCTTCATCCACCTGGGATCACAGGGCACCGCCCAGGGCTCCAGCGACACGAAATCGCCTTGGCTGTTCACCTGACAACGGGAATCTTGAGTTGGGGGGGATAGGAGACAAGGAGACCACTGTGGACGCTTTGCAGAACCTTAGCGCCTGCCAGTCCGCTGTGGTGGCCTGGCCGCCCGCCCCGCTCTTGTGCTTCGGGGCAAAAGCCAGGCAACTGCTTGTGTCCTTTTCGGTTCCGCCCCACCTCAGCCCCAAAGCTTGAAGCGCAGCCAAGCATGTGCTGTGAGGTGGCTACACCGAGTGCAAAAACAGCAAGTGACACTGGCCATGTGGTCCAAGAGAGGAAGCGCGAAGCCCAGACCCCGAAGCTAGCCACGTGAAAAGATTGTTCATCCGTGCTGCTCTGTGGCGTGGCGGTCAGATTCTCTTGCATGGTCAAACACCCAGGTTTTCTCACCCATTGCTTCAAAGGGATTCAACTGTCTCGTCTGGTATCCCTAAACCCCAAACCCTAAACCTGAAACCCTAAACTTAAACTCTAAACCCTAAACCCTAAACTTTAAACCCTAAACTCTAAACCCTAAACTCTAAACTTTCAAAACCCTAAGCTTTTTGGTGTTGGGAGGCTCTAATAACAATCACAGTAATAGAAATAATTTGAAAAATAGTATCAGTAACAAGTAATAATAATAATCGAAAAATAAAACCCTAAGCCCTACTTCTTGATACTTCGCGACGACTTGCCCCCCAACCTTTTGACACCTAGCCCCCGACCCCCCAAAGCTGCCGAGCGCTCGTGGGGAGAGAAGCGGACATCACCGCAGACCGACATGACTTATATTATTGCTACCATTATTAATATTCATTATTACTATCATTATTATTAGTAATAGTTATTACTACCATTATTAGTACTAGTTATTACTACCATTATTAATATTAATTATTACTACCATTATTAATTTTCATTATTACTACCATTATTAACATTCATTATTACTACCATTATTAGTACTAATTATTACTACCATTATTAGTACTAATTATTACTACCATTATTAGTATTGATTATTACTACCAGTATTAGTATTGATTATTAATGACATGTGCAAGACACCAGAACAGTGCAGAAGACAAATGTAAGTACAAAGCCCTTCGCAGCTCCATGCACCAGAGGACGCGGCCGACGACGACAACGACGACGGATAGAATTTCAGGTTTTTTGTTGACGCTTATTTTGGAAGACCGAGAACCACATGACTACGCCGCACGAGAGTGACAGCTGGGAAAGCGTGCTTTCCCACCATCTTCCAGCAGAAGGCAGGGTAATGCAGACTCGTTCAGAATGGCCACCGAACGAAGCAAAGGAGTGGACAAGAGCACAAATCAAAGAGCCCTCTCGTAGCAGAACTCAACGAGCTACAACTGGCCAAATAGGGAGTTGGAGCCGGGGAGCTGGCTGATCAGCTTTGTCTGTTCATGCCCGCCCTCTGATCCGAAAGCGAAAGCGATGCCAGCTTTGGGATCACCCTCGGATTGCAACAGCGACATGTCCCTCGCGGTGAGGTTACGCTTCTCCGTGTGAATCTGAATCATCAGGTTCTGCTCGGCATGGTGCGTCACAGGAGGAGCACCGACGGCGGGGAACTTGGAGCTCTTGGCGGCCTCTTGGATCAAGGAGTGGCTACCCTTCAAGACTTGCCTCACCACAGTGCCGGCCACCCTGGCGAAGCCCTCCACGAATTCGCCGAGGACGATGTTTAGCATGGTCAGAAACTTGAAGGGTGGCACGTACTCGATCGTCTTGCTGCCGAGGCAGATCATGATGCTTTGGATCGAGCTCGTGTCGGGGCACCCCAGCACCCTGTCCATGATCTTGTTGCCCACACACTTCACAGAATCATAATTGGGACCCCCTGATGCACAACTCACAAGCTCCTGTCCCAGCTTGAATGCGCCCTTGACCGCATTGAGGGCAGTGCTCTGGAGTGATGCCAACGGCTCGGGCCAAGGGAGATTGTAGCTGGGCATTGCGTCGTTGAAAAGCACCAGCTCCCTGCCAAAGATATCGAGCACGCAACGCGCACTCCCGAAGCTTAGGTCGAGTCCGCTGCTCGATATGCCAGCGGTTGGGTGAGGTAGTTTGCATTCTTTGATAAACGGGACGGGAAAGGGAAGGTCGAGGGTCTGCGCAGCAAAATCGTACAGCGTAAGTTTTTGGCCCACCAGAGTGACGCTGCACGACGCCCCGCCGAAACCGATCCGGAATCCGGTAGAAAGGATCGTGCTGGTTGGTCGTGGCAAATCGCAATCTGCATCGAATGTGAAGCCACGGGTGAGAATCTGCATCGCTTTCTCCGTAGTGTCAATGACGGTGTTGGCGACGAAGGCAACCTTATCAGAAGTCTGTTCGTAACCCTCGGCGATCGCACCACCAAATGATTCAGCACCGTCGACAACAGCATCCACGACGGTCCCAATGATTTTGGAGCTCACCGCGGCATCCAGCTCCGTTCCTCCAGCCTGGCCTTCAGACTTCTGCGAGGAGGCTTTCTTTTGCTGGCGCTGCAGCAGTTGCTCCTTTGACTCCTTTGCTTGACTTTGCGAATCCTGGTGTCGCTTCTCGGTCATGGGAGTGACGAACTCCCGCTTCTCCCTTTGGTGCTGGTGCTTGTGGAAGACCTTCTTCAGAATGGCCTGCGCTTGCTGGAGTCTCACTTTCTCCTCGGCCTGCGTTTGCAGGAGCGAGGGCGCCCCGGGCGGTGCGGCTCCTCCAGGCTGGGTGCCGATGTATTCGTCCAACTTCTTGTTCAGGCGCTTGATTTCGGTCCGGCCCATTCTGATTTCGACCTGCTGGAGCTCCACGGCCGTTTCCTTGCGACACGAAAGGGGGGACCGGTGACAGAATCCCAAACGAGACCCCAAAAGCCGGACTCATCCAAGGCTCCAGTTGGGCGACTTTCAGCATCAAGAACTCCAGGTTCTTAGCGAGTCCGTCGCCCCCGGTCGATGCATTCGTCCCGTTGGGATCCGGAATTTCCGTTGCCTCTTTCATGGAATGCAGCATGTTCTCCCCAACAAGCCTCAGCACAAACTCACTCTCTCCTATAGCTCGTCGCCAAGGCCCAGCATACAAGGTGGGTGCACAACATGGAAGGTCTTGGCAGGTCTTTAGGAACAGGCTCGTTACATCTTACATCCCCCGTCGTGATATACTATTTCTTCTTGCGGCCCCGCAGCTGTTCCAGGGCCTCGGTGTCGTTCTTGCTGAGGTTGACCCCGTCAGTCACGTCGATCGGAATATCCTTTTGGTTCACGGTCTTCATGGCCGTCACGGCCTTTACGACCGAGACCAGGAAGACCAGCAGGAGGAACATATTTGGCTTCATTGGGCTCAGTGATGAAAGACTTGTGAATGGCAGTCTAAGCCAGAGCCAGTCTGCAAGAAAGTATGTGGCATGCGGCTGCAAGTGGGAGCCTAGGGGAGGCGACGCACCTGCAAAACCTCAGCATACGCACCTTGATGGTCAGGTCAGAATGCACTGACGTCGCTGCCAGCAGCTTCGGGCAACTCCGTAAGTGTGTGCTGTTGTCGAGCATCTGTCGTGCGTGTGCCAAAGCCGATGTGTGTCTCGCTGACATGAGACTCCATGGAAGCAAGACCATCTCAACGCTTAAGCCCAGCCGAGCACGTCCTTCTAGATACAACTGTCACAAAAGCGTACGGGACGCCGAAGTGAGATGCAGGATCGACAAAACAGTTGCAAGAGATAAGAAGCGAGAAGATCTACTTCTCTCTTGATGCCTCAGGGCATGCTCCCCAAATACCACATGTGGACGAATCAAAGAAGCGTTTGCACCACATGGCGCCAAAGAAGAAAAAATGGCCGGGTGGGACAAGAAAAAGTTTCTCGCTCACACGAGCCTTTAAAGTGAGGTCACAACGTGGCTACGCGATCGTCATCTTCAATGCTTGCCGGACTTTCTGCTGCAACGTGTGTCGTGTCGGAGGTGTTGCTTTTGAAATGTGTCTCCTGCTGCATGCCCATGTTCAACAAGATTCAGCTAGCATGGAGCATGCTGTCGTGCACGAACATGCTGTGCTAGCAATAACAGATGCAGTCAAATACATGCACAGTATAGATACAGGCCTACAGGAACTTATAAACCCACCTAGATCTGTCTGCAAAAAATTCAACGAATGTCACAATACGGAGTACTGCCTCGACGGTACTCAGCCCTTGAGCCCCAAGTGACAGTGCTGAAACTCTGAACTGTAAACCTGGAAAGAGAAGGCGCATAAACGCCAGATCTTTCGGCACGCCGGCGTGCATCTCAACGTTTGGCTCCTGACAAGAACCGAATCGAGAGACGGGGCTTCTCGGCTCTCCTCGAAAGTACCTCCATCAGTGATGGGACCCCCGCGATACCCAGCCCGAGCACTACTGCTGCTGTGACTGCTTGTTTCTGTTGCTGCTGCTTCTACTCTGCGGTCGCTCAAAGATGCGCCTCTGAGTTGAGGCTCATGTGGTCGGCATATGCAGAAAGCCGTAGGACAAGGCGCTGCCTCTACGTTGCCAGTCCGAGGTTTCAGGCTAGACCAAAGAATCGCCCTGTCTAGCCTGCCTAACCCAACCTTGCCACAAAACCCTGAAACCCTCCTCATTACACCCATTCGTGACTTCCAAGAAAGCTTTGGAGTCTTCGTGCCGGGTCTAGACAACATGCAGGCACCATTTTGAAGTGCGAAGCATGAATGCATCCTCATATGCGACCAAGACGACGGCGATCCCAGCTCAAGAAGCATAAACACAAGGGTAGATCCCCTGCTTGCCGGCGGCAGCTCGAAGGAGCACGCCGCAAATTCACGAGCTACTTACACTTCGACATGCAACATAATTCAATGATTCCAACAGAAACGCTGACATAACCTCAGACGGAGCACATGCGATAACAGCTGGCAGTTCGAGAATTCTTTCAACGGTGGTTTCAGACTGCATGGCCTTAGGTGCCTGGAGCACTGCAAAACAACGACAAAATTCCGAAAAGCTGAATGTCTCTGCTCCACGTTCTCGGACTACTTCGCATAAGAAACAGCGTTTCAGGCAGTGTCAAAGCAGTGTCTTCATCGGCAAAATGTCAAACATCGTGCAACGTTGTTCAATGTTGCAGTCACCACGCCAGTCAGAGAAACGTCATGCAAGAAGCGAGATCCGAACCCGGGAAGCCGCCTGGGTTTGCAGTGGACCTCCGTTTTTCATCAGAAACTCAGTTGCGCAAACCTTACATAACTTGCTGCGGGCTTCGTAAGCCTGCAGACAAGCATTGCAACGACAGAGCTGCTCAGGAAACATCTGTGAATAGAACACTCCGCAACATCACGATCTCTCAACAACTGATGCTCGATCTAACCAGACCTGCAGGAAGGGGTTGCACCTGCCGAGAGTTGTTCAAGAGATCTCGTGAGCATAAGGATGGACGTCACCCTGTCTGATCCCTTCGATAGCCTCCCAAGGCCATTCCACGGCCTCCTTGCACTTAAAACGGAGATGAAAAAGACCAGACATTGACACGGAACATCAAAGCCGACGTCTGAGAACACCTGCACCCAGACCGCTTCCGGGCACCTGCACATCATCGTGTCACACAGTAGCCGTATTTTCACAACACAGATTCCCCGCTGAGTTGCAGCCGATGACAGAACCACGTCACGAGCACGACGATGACAGGAAATGGATGTCGACATGGAGTCTCCTCAAGGCAAAAGAAACATGCAGGCTGCAATCTGGCTTACTCCGTGCTCGTGGTCGACCTTGACGGACAAGCCGAACTTTGGTTCTCTCTTGTCATGTGGCCAACAGTCGCTAGACTGGCTCGGCTCTTTTCAGCTTCTCGACACCCGGAGTTCCACCAGGAAGGCCGCACAGATGCGGGGCAAACCAACCTTCCTACAGCTGGCTCAGATGCACAATGACTCACTCGGTTGCCGGGATAACAGATCTTACAGTGGAGAAGTGTCAGATCGTCTTGGATCACGATTAGATTCTTGCTTTCTGAAATCACCTGTCATGTTTGTCGGCAACATTGTGATAAATTTTTGTGGGAAACGGACATGGAATCACGTGTTCTCAAGGCATGCGATGTTCGCAACGCTACTGCACCAGCAAAACAATTCGAAAAAATTATGCGACCTGTGTTAGAGACGTGAAACGTGTGCATCAACTCGTTGAAAAGCATCCGTTGTGCATCCACGCCAGCTGTAAACGCAAGTCGATCTAGTTTGCTTTGCGTTTGCGCCGCATTTGTTCCGACATCCACTGAAAAAGAAACTTATGTGGTTTCAGAAAGGTCCAAGCACCTTCAAGTGCCGGCTTGCTTGGGTTCAGTGGGCTTTTGGATTCCTCACAAGACCTTCACAGTCCTAAAAGCTTCTAGGCAGAGTTTTCTTTAGAGTCTATTGCACATGACCCAAAAATTGAAAATGACAACAGTAATTGACACCAAAAAAAACAGTGCATGTGGTTCGGTCCGACGTGACCCCACAATCAAATTTCAAGTGGGTTCTGTTGGTATGAAAGCAGTAGACGTAGTTTGGAGGACTGACCCAGGAGTCAAAAACAAGAAAGTCTCTGGGGTTTTGGTCAAAAATCAAAAGCAAAACAGAGCCAGCCAACGGTGCTGATAAGAAGTGCACGCAGCGCGTGCTGCAACGGAGCGCATTGATTGCCACTTCGCAGCATGTCGGCGCTAATCGCCGCACGTTGGGTAAAATCTGAGCAAACTTCAAAGATTCGTCTTTCTGGCGGAAGTCTGAGCTGTATGCGATAGAAGCCGTTAGTCCTAAGACCATTTAGACACTATTCCGGCACACTTTCTTACATCTCCGCTGCTGATCCTCCTCTTGGTCCTGCTTGGCGAAACACTCACAGTCTCGCACAGTGCCAAAACTTTCCTTGCGATTATGATCACTTCCAATGCCTCCCACTGCATGTATTTCGCCTGACTCTGCCGGCTTCACTGACAGCGATGTCTGCTTCGTGCCAGTTCGGAACGGCTACTCCGCTTCGCTCTCTCTTGTATAGCGGGGTGTTCGGCCCACAATCGATCGTCTACAAGGGAGCTGATTCAAAATCGAAAGGACGTCGAGCCTACAGCCTCGGACCAAAAACAAAAGATCGACAGGGGCTTAAGAGCCGTAGGACGCAACGATCTTGGGCCCATTAGCGCAAAAATTTTCCTCGCAATCGGAGCTCGACGATTGTGGATCCGAGCGGAGCGAACGAGCGAACGGAGCGAACGGAGCGAGCGAGCGAGCGAAGCGAGTCGAGCGAGCGGAGAGAGCGGAGTGAGAGAGTGAGAGTAGCGAGAAAGTCCACAATCGTCGAGCTCCAATCGGCGTCTGAGCCCTGTCGATCTTTCGTTTTTGGTCCGAGGCTGTAATCAGCTCCCTTGTAGACGATTGTGGGCCGAACACCCCGCTATATAAGAGAGAGGCTGCAGCTTTGTGCGGTTTCAAGGCTGTGCGGATTATCGCTGTGGGTATGCACCAGTGATGCACCACTGATGCACCAGCGTCGTCTAAAGTCAAAAGCAAAACAGAGCCAGCCAACGGTGCTGATAAGAAGTGCACGCAGCGCGTGGTGCCCAACGGAGCGTTTTGATTGCCATTACGCAGCATGTCGGCGCTGATCGCCACACGTTGGGTAATCTGAGCAAACTTTAAACGCTCGTCTCTCTGGGCAAAGTCTGAGCTGTATTCGATAGAAGCCGTCAGTCCTGAAACCATTTGGACACTGCTGTGTTGGACTATTTTGCTTCGTTTGATCAATTGCATAGCTGCACAACACTGTTGCTGTCGTTGTCTCTGAATCCTGCTTGCAGCAGCTCAAGCTGCCACGTTGGCTGCGTAAACAAGAGAGAAACTGTGAAAGATTGTGACCTTCACGGCAATACCTGCTTGCAACATTTTGTCACAAACCTGCATCCAGAAAGGGTGAAAAGCGGGGCCAAAAATGGGCCCGGAAATTGGGCCTGTTTCTGGAGCCTGCTAGTACTGGCACAATTACC